GGAGGGATAACGTCAATTCCATTTACTGTCTAATTACTAATACCTTGTCATCTGCGATTTTCCTGTGTTTTGTCTGAAGAGAAAGAGCAGAGAGTTTCTCCCTTCGTACAGAACATTCCTTATGCCCCCCTATCGAAAATTAGATTACTTTCTATAACAGATATCTTCCTCCTGGGAACTATTTAATAATTTAATATTTAAAGCAAAATTTAAAAAAAAAAAAATTGTTTCCTCCTCTTTTATGAAATCTTGTCATGGCGGAAGAGAGCTTTAACCCATTTTTAAGACATGTAAATCATCTGCGGTGTAATTTGCCGAAGTTAATTAATTTCGAGTAAGAGAATGATACTATGAAAATGCTTTGAAGTAATTGAGTTTTTTTTTGGGTGTGTTTTTTACGTTACTTTTTTCCTCCCCTCGAAGAATTGTTGATTGTTATAAATTTCTTATACATTGTATGTATTTATATATTGGATGATGAACTCGGATTTTATAACCTTTAGGCTATTGCTAAAGACAGAAAGAAAGTATAAAATACATTTTTCAGACATTTAAAAACAACATCAATATCCCAGTAACAAACTGTTTGGATGCCATGATGAATTTTGTAATATTTTAAAGTTTGGCTTCGGGCAATCTAATGCTAAAAATTCCTTCTTAAAAAAATAAATAAATAAAAATTTCATTCGATTATATATATAATATTTATAGAGATTGCTGGGTGAAATTGTTGGTAAGGGAACCTTGCAATTCCCGATGTTTGTTTGTTTTAATGATCGAGAAAACATTGATTTTCTCTTAATATTTTAAATATTTCGGATACGTTACTTCTCTCATTTGTCAATTTTTCTCTTATAGACAACAGACATAATGTTTTCCCCCTCCCTCCTGTTTTTATTTATTACTGAGACGTGATTTCTCCCTTGTTGTAGCATTTAATGCTTAGTTTATCAAGGATATCATCTGTTTGTCTTTATATAAACGTGTAAACAGAGTGTAAACAAATAACGTATTTTTGTTTGGTTTACTTTATATATATTAAATATTAAACAATAATTCCCATGATTATCTTTACATTTATAATTAAAAGGTTCAGCTATGAGAGTGCAACCATTTTATCCCTATACATAAATGACCCCCAAAATATAAAAAATGTGATTAAACGTTATATAAATTAAAATTTCTTTTGATAAATGGTTTAAAAAATCTTATTTTTTAGTTGTTTTATTGAATTTCTTCATATATATTTATGGATTTCGGAGCGAGAGATCCTCCTTTTATAATGCTAGGGCCTCTTTAGGGCCATTAATGGCTTGAGAGAGGCCCTAAAGAGGCCCAAATTATAAACTATTATAACAAATATTGTTAAATATACAGAAAATTCTATACTAATTCATTATGAAACAATAAAATGTTAGGAAATTTGCTACTTTTATAATTATTTTTTTAGCCAAAGTATAAAGTAATATTTTATTTTTAATATTAAATCTTCATATTATTACATGATATAGGAATAAATAATTAAATCTATAACTCAAATAAAACATAAAAATATATTTTAAGAAATTATCGTGCCGAAAAAAATTATAATCAAACGAATAATATATATATTTTTTTAATAGAAAAATAAATTATGCAAAGATTTAAGCATAATTTCTAACGTATCATTAATTATAATTCCGATATATTACTTGTAATTTATAATGCTGTTTAATTAATTGTAATTACGAAACGTATTAATTAAATTGTAACTGATAATTCAATCAACAGATGGAGACACTAAAGCACGTTTTAAATTTAAATCATCCAATCAGGTTTTTATAATTTGAATTTAAAAACTAAAATTAAAACTTGCTAATTATACAAAATAAATTGTGTGTGATAAGCTCCATTTTATTAATTATAATTTATTTTTAATTTTTCAGTTTTAATGCTACTATTAATTAAAAATAATCTCTGTATATTTTACTTTGGTAAATTTATTATTATTATTATTATTTTCTAATTAAAAACATGAAGAAATTTATAAAACATTTAAATGAAAATTTTTAGACTCTTTTAATAATTTCTTTATTTCTATAATCAGAATGGCAATTTACAACGAATTGGCAGGTGAAGAATTTCAAAGGGTTCACCACCCTTCTTTTTTATTTTTTCCAACAAACTCCAGGACATCACAATTGTTTATTTATTTATTTATTTTTTCTTAATGAAAACCTTATCTGCCCTCCTTTTTTTATTTTTTAATCAACAAATTTCAGTCTTGTGCGCGTCATCCATAACAGAATTCTTCAACTAGTACACTCTAAAATCACAATCAGCAAACTGAAAAGATTTTTGTTTTTCCTACTTCAATATAGAGATATCCTTCATAAAAAACTATTCTTCGACACATACATATCTATATATTTTATATTTTATTTTATTAATTTTTTTTTTTATAAAGAAGGGACATTCTCTGCCTTTAATACACAAGAGAATGGGGAAATAATTATAAACAAAATGTATCCCCCTATAACTCTTCCCCCAAATTCCCTGATGTATCACTCCAGGCTATCTCTGTCCAGGTTTACAAAGTTCTTTACAGAGTAAAAATCATAATACACTATAATTTTTTTTTAAGTTCCTAAAAGCCACATTTCAATAATAATTAAGATGCTAAATACTGGAGATATTTTACAATTGATACTTTCACTTGTACCTGAAATTAAAGAGAAAATATTAAAAATATATATATATACATATATATATTAATGAAACATGAGTTTCATTATATATATTAACAGTTAAGAAGAATTTATAATTAGAAATAATAAAAAAAATACATTTATTAATATGCAACTAATACATAAAGCAAGTTTTTTATAACTTGTTACATGGATATAAATTTTACCACACCCTGTAATAAAATAATTTCATAGAGATAATGAATCATTATAGAACTGACCATGTGTTTTAATAGGACCATTATAGGTCCAATTTTTCATTAAGCACGTGATATACACAAAGGATTTTGTGTGTTACGTGATATCTAATCCTCTATCAAGTCAGTTTTCTGGATTGATTGTGATTTAAATGGTTAAAACTATTATTACACAATTACTTCTTAATAAAGATTAAACATATGCTTCTTAATTACATTTAAGATAATTTAAAAATTCAATTTTTTAAATAAAATTTAATTTTTGTTTTTTGCTATTTTTCTTGGTATTTTCCAATAGAGATAAGAGAGAAGAAAATGAGAGATTTTCTTTCTATTTAAAAAAAGTTATTAAATTATTTTATTACTTGCAAATGACATAAATATTTATATATTTAAATATAGTATTATCTGTTTATAAATAGAAAATAAAATATATTTGAACATTTAATTTTTATTATAACTGTCAAAATAAAATGTTATGATTTAATTTACTTCGTAAAATCAGTTTTTTTTTAATTAAAGAAAGCTAATTTGAAATTTAATGAATGTAAAATAAATTTTTTAAAAATTTATTAAATATTAAAATTTTTTATGGAAGGATGAATTTACATCTTTTGATCTTTTATCTACCTAAATGACAATTTTAAAAGTTAAGTTTTTCAAGCACATTACAAATGTATGATGTTAAATTATTAATGTCCAAGTTTTGTTCAATTTTAAATTAATTTTTTAAAAATACTTATAAGAAATGAAATGATACAAAGCATAGAAAGAAATAAATTTTAAATATAAAATATTAAAATAAATTATACTGTATAATTACATTTAATTTAAATATAATGAAACTAATTAAATCATATCTTTTGCATGAATGAGAAGCCAAAAAGGAGCACTTTTATTATGAAATATAATATATATATATATATGTATATATATATTTAATGTGACTTTTTTATTTATTTAATTTATTGTAGATTTGTAAATATATTTTTTTTAATTATTAGAATACAGGAATACAGAATACTTTGATCTCTATCTACATTAATGCAAATGAAGATATAGGAGGATTTAAAGATTTAAAGAGCCTTCTTATTGCCTATTAGTGGGGTCCTTTTGTAAAAAACAGTATATAACCTAAAACCATAATTTACTTTTTTATAAAAATATTAAATTTTTTTTAACTTAAACAAGAATTAAATTGATTTTTTCACTAAAGTCGGCTTACTCTCTTAAGTATAGCCTACGTTAGTATAGAATAAAATGAAATTGGAAATAAATGAGCCTTATTTATACTTTTTTCTTTTAATTATAAGAAAATTATTCAGTTTTGTGGGGACCTCCCATAATAGTGGTTCCCCTCAGTTGTGAACTTTTTAAGAACTGATAAATTCATCTCTGGAGAGAGATAAGAAAATTTTTAAAATAAATTGCTTAAAAATAGTTAATTATTTATAAATTGTCAAAATTGGAAATTCTTTAATAAATTATATACTGTATGTTATTTTGTATTTTGATTCAGAAATTGTCTTGTGTTTTGACATAATTATCAGGTTATATATCAACAGAGTAGCACTAATAACAGTTTCTAGAACTGTCACTTGTGATTCTGTTGTAATGAACCTGTCACTGTCTTGTTTTTGTTTATTGGCAGAAAGCCCTCTATATTTCTCTTACTTCATAAACTATCAAAATATAATAAATCTGTATAATAAAAGAATAAGACTAACAAGAGATAACATTATTCCAGCTTTAGTTAATTATAACAATTTTAACTAGATTTTAAATTGATATATTATTAAAGTATAAAAATTAAAAGAAAAATTAAATTTCTTTTACCCATTTCAAAAGATAACAATTAAATTAATAGTAATAATAATAATAATATTTTTTTATCACTACATTTTAAATAGAACATTTAAATGAATGTTAGCCAAAATAAACATTTGCTTATATTTTTATTAATAAGTGATTTAAAATTATTTTATAGCTTAATCCATCTTTTTATTATTGGATTTAAAACCTTATTGATGTCATATAAGTGTGTAGTTTCTTTTTCTTTATAATTTAAAAAATGATAACCTTTATAAAAATATAGTATAAGTACTGAGTAGTTGAGTGTATCTAAATCCTGTTAATCTAGCATTTGAGCAAAGTAAAGTTTTAAAACAATCCCCTGTACAATGTTGACATATCAATCAAGGGATCAGTGAAGAAGTACGAGATTAATGTGCTTTTTTTTAAAGTTATTTACCGGTGTTGAATACAAAGGACAGTAGGGAGCTAAGTATAAGCTCGTTTGGAAGTTGTTGCCTGAGGAAAGAAAACAATAAACTACAAGAATTATTGAAATGCTTCATAATGTAATTAATATACTTTTTCCCCCTCTTTAATAAAAGAATTTTTTAAAAGGTTTTACCATTTTCTTCCAGAGGTCTATGCAAGGGTGGATTAAAAGGTTGATTCTGCCCTTTTGTGGCATCTGACATACCAAATCTGCTATCTGAGAAGGAAAACATCTTGTTTTAGTTCACTTTTAATTAATATTCAAGCGAAACTTAATTAATATTCGTTATTTATTAATGAGAAACTTTGAAAATATAAAGAGATGAATGTATGTATCTTAATATAATTTATTTTTAAATAATTAATTAATTTAATAATATAACAATCTCCTGTTCATTNGATTTCGCAAGAAAAGTGGCTCCCGGGAAGAGTTTCTAAGGTAAACTGGTCTCTATTTAGGTGTTAGACACGTGAAGAAAACCCGGAAAACTCCACGTGGACAATCTGTTGGTCAGGGGTGAAGCCGCGACAACTACCAGGATTCAGTGATTTTATTCATTCGGCCCTAGATGGAAAGTTGTGTAAAGACCAAGGAAGTGGTCATTTTCAATTTTCAATATTTATTGTAGAAATAAGCGATTAACCGCAAAAAGTCAAGCAAGTTGCTTGACTGTTTCAAGATTCTGTATAAAATGCAGTGTGCTTTTCTTTATATAAAATATCAAATAAGCCTGAGTTTATAATAATGTGCTTTTCTTTTATAAAATAGATAAAAACATAATAAAAATATGAAATAATTAGAAATAAATTTATTGAAAAATATCCATTTTCTTATGTTTGCAATGATTAACCAACTTTCGGACCATTTTATGTGTAATTTTAAAGTATTATTCTTTACAAATTTACTACAGAACTTAAAAGAAAAATATCTCTTTTTAATCATAAACATCCTCATTGCAATAAATAGTTTTAGGCAATAGGATATTATTTTTCAAAATTGCTTTCTGCTAAATTGGCACAGAATTCATAAACCTGATCATCCTTCAAGATTCTCCAAGAAGATACGATGAGGATGGGAAGAGTTCACTAAAAGATTCTCAATGGATCGTCTATATATGTCCGTTATTGATAGATTGTTTTTTTATGATGTTATTTTCCGCTTAGTGTTGTTATTATGTGGAAAGAGATAAATGAAAATAAATGACCGTATCTGACGTTAGAAGTGGTCAGATGATTAAGAAATTGTTTTTTCTTAAGAAAAATTGTATAAAATCATGCAACAATTGCTGATTATTTTCCCCCTTTGTTAAATAATTAAATCGTTATAAAAGTACGTATTTAATTAAGTTTAAATACAATTCGCTTCTTATTCGAAAAATCTTTATTAAAAAATCGGCATACCACTTTAGAAAATAAAACTTATAGATATCAACGGAAGATATAAAGCAACAATACGAAATTTCCAGTAAAAATACATCGATAAAAAATCAACTTCTAATAAAATTTTTAAAAAATATTCATTTTTCATTAAATATATACTTGTATACATTTGAAAAATTATCGTTTTTATGAAAAAATGATAAAAATTAAAATAAATAAACCCACTTTTTTTTCTAAATAAGATGAAAGACGATAATCCTACCTTCTCTTCTTCCAGAAGTGGATTGCAAGGCCGGATGATGCAATGGCGATTTCGCATCATCTATAAAAATTAAAAGGGTACATTATATATAATTCATTTATGTACATCATTAAAATTAAATGAGATTAGTAAAAATATATTTTCTCAAAAGTTTCTCCTTTTTTTTTTTTAAAGAAAGAAAGTATTCCTAATTAAGTTGATTCCATAATGAATCCAAAGGAATGATTTGAACAGTTTCAACACCAGACATAAAACGGTTAGAGAGAAAAAAATAACAGAAAACGAAATAGTAGAAGATAATGAACGAGATAAATTGATGAATTTCAATCAGTTGAGAATGTTTCCTCCCTTCCTAGTTTTACTCCACAATTGATTACTTTTAACAACCCACTCAAAACTTCTGTCATTCAATGTTCCTTCTCCCTAAGTGAATTTCAAAGCACCGAATTTTTACTCTCTCTCTCTTTTTTAACTCTCGAAATTTTACTGTTTATTCAAAAAGAAACTTTCTTCCAACATTAATTGTATAAGAACATTAAAAAAAACCAGACTTACCTTCTAAACTTTGAATTTTAGCAGTGGAGGGTTCTTTTCCTGGTTGAGGTGAAACATGGATTTCTGAAAGTAAAATTTATAATAAAATATATATATATTTTTTTTTAAGGATATTTAATTGTATTTTCTGCAATGTATATAATAATAAAAGTAAATAACTCGATAATCTTTTGAAATTATTATAAAGTAGAACCGTGAATAAACTCTACTTGCGTGCTTTCGTGGTACGTAAAAATTAATTTCAATTAAGAAGACAGGAAAAATTTATAAATTTAAAAAATTATTTCTTCTATTGAGAAACACAAAATTAATTTTATTTTGTCATTTGCACAAAACAGTAATCAGTTTACAATACTTTATGCTTTAAAAGAAAAAATATATATGAGGTTTGTGAAGAAAAATTTAGAAATTTGGAATGAAATGTCGCTTCATAAAAAAACACTCTAGAAAAATTTCCTACAAGAAGAATGCTTTCTAGAGAACAATAATTTTCAGGAAAACCATTTATATGGTCAATTTACAGAGCCTAAAAAACTGTATTGAGATAAATTCACCCAGTTTGAACACAAAAACACTTTAGAAATGGTTAAATTTCATGTTTATAAAATTACAGTGATTTATTTTTAATAAAATCTTCAAATTTTACTGAAATTTAAATTTAATTTTATTTATTAAATTCATTTTCATCCATTAAAAAATCAAATTATAAATCCAATACCTACCATATAATCTTATAGAACCTTCTGTAGATCCTAAAGAATTTTTAGCGTAGCATTTATAAACTCCAAAATCTTCCTGTTGAATATTTCTTATTATAAGTTTCATATGAACTTTATATGTCTTATCTTTTATTATGGCTAAGTATTTATCGTTAGTGACGAGCATATCACCATCTTCCTTGGTCCAGTAATTGATTGACATGGGGTATGCCTCTGTATGACATTCTAGCGTGATATTTGAGCCACTCGGAGCTCCTATGAGTTGGTTCGGAATCCATATCATGGGTGGAACTGCAAATATATCATGTTTATAAGAATATTATTGAACAAAAATGAATCTCTTCAAACATTGATGCATTATATTCCATATACAGTTTCCGCCATTAAATGTTCTTCACGATAACGCAATTTATTTATTGATATGTTAAGACTCGAAAGTAGGGGAAATATTATATATAAATCCCTGTAAATCAATAGAAACTTTCGAAAATAATTTACTCTGCCACGTATAAGAAGGAAATATTCTATTTGGCATCTCGTAAGTAACGTTACATGGAAATTGTCCCTTTTAAAAACATCTTATCTATAAAATTATAATTAACTAGAAATACCCTTTTGTAGATAAAGTTATCGAGAAGCAACAAACGATGCAGCCCATATTGAAAAAGAAGCAAATCAATATGAAAACTAATTTAAAACAGAAGAAGAGATCAATGTTGTGGCGAAGTTTTGAAGAAGTAAATTACTATCTAGATGGTTATCACGAAAGTAAAAGTGGCGATTACATCCTATCGATAGTTTTTGATCATCATTAAGTCCTTCGCGTCACTTCTCCGGATATAAGGCCAGGAATGACAAATGGATGTCGTCTTTCTATATTCCGAGTGACAAAGGAGAGAGTAGTGAAGTTATTAAGCCCTTCTACTCCGAAGATGCTAATTAATCTGTCAATAAATTTACCTCAGAAAAACAACATTTTAATCTTCATCCTCTGCCGTATCTGATCTGCAATGGTGCAGAACTTTAAGAGCTTTCGTTTTTCTTTCTTGATGGTGTGAACTCTCTAGCAATTATACATTATGTGAGAATTAGTGGAAGAGTGCGGATTTAAAGCTCGTAAATATAAGGTAAGTCTATTAGCGTGTAGTTACTTTACTAAAATAAGGCAATTTAAGACACTTATAAACATTTTCAACCCACCAAATTACATTTTTTCTTCTCCTGCTCTTTATATTTGACGCTTTATAATGATCATTTCAACATTGGTTTTTATGTAACAACATTTAAATTTGTAAATCTCTGAATATTAATTATTAATGAGAGGTTGGAATGTATTTAAAGTATTTTTATGTTTAGTTCCTGAAACTATGTTGAATTATTAAATATTTATGTCGTTTAATTCATTACACATTTCTGAAAAACATATTTTAAATTTTAAAAGACATGATTTAAAGTTGTACTATTTACATTTGTCAGAATTTACATCGTATAAATAAACAATTTCACGCTCTGAGAACATGTTCATTAGTAGAGGTTGCAAGTTCTAAATATCAAATTTCTATGAAAAAAATAAAAATAAAAATTGTTGAAGCGTGTAAGAGTAATTCACTTACAGTGCACCTGAAGAAGAATTCTTCTACTAACTGAAGGTGGCACGTCGTTTGATGCTATGCACAGGTATGCTCCCATATGCAACCGACTGACTTTAGTAACACTGAGTTCTTCACCTTCATACGTTGCGTCTAAAAGTATTTTTAAAATTTTAAATTAATTATTATTATAAATATAACCAAAAAATTTGTTCAAAACTCAAATAAAATTCGTTGTTTAATTATAGAAAATTTTCTATTTTAAAATATTTTACTGGGAATTTACATTCTAGTTACAACTACAGTGTCTTATATAAATGAAAATTTTTAAAGATAATTAAACTAGCGCTTGTTTACTCTAACAAATATTATCTTTAGATAAATAGGAAAATTTTTAAAGAAAATATAAAAAATATTAGTACAGTGTAGATGCATCTAAAAGTAAAAGGAATGTTTTGATTTTATTTTGCGACTAATTCTAGAAAAGAAAGAAACAATCGAAGTCAAAGTTATAATAAAATTCTTTCAGAGAATTAAATTTCGTTGAAAGTAAACAATAACTCCACCCAAAGTTAAAGAAGAATGAAGAAGAGAAAACGTTATATATAGTTAGTTAGTCGTAGTTCCTTCCAATCATGTTTATACACAGAGAACATCATACAGGATCCGCCCAACCTTGCAGAATTTAATATATAATTACTTCAAAAGTTATGAGTGTTGAAACTAAATATAGTTTATTAATTAGAAATTTTTTTATTATAAAAATTTAAAAAATATTTAAAATTAACAGAAAACATTAAACATTTTCAAACTAATCGCTTTCTATCTCTTATAACCTTTAGGGATTTCCAAACTTTTAAAACTGATTTTAATACATCAGAGGACGAGATTAAAATTAAAATTTTCTCTTTTTTTTGTTTTTTNCCAGGACATCACAATTGTTTATTTATTTATTTATTTTTTCTTAATGAAAACCTTATCTGCCCTCCTTTTTTTATTTTTTAATCAACAAATTTCAGTCTTGTGCGCGTCATCCATAACAGAATTCTTCAACTAGTACACTCTAAAATCACAATCAGCAAACTGAAAAGATTTTTGTTTTTCCTACTTCAATATAGAGATATCCTTCATAAAAAACTATTCTTCGACACATACATATCTATATATTTTATATTTTATTTTATTAATTTTTTTTTTTTTATAAAGAAGGGACATTCTCTGCCTTTAATACACAAGAGAATGGGGAAATAATTATAAACAAAATGTATCCCCCTATAACTCTTCCCCCAAATTCCCTGATGTATCACTCCAGGCTATCTCTGTCCAGGTTTACAAAGTTCTTTACAGAGTAAAAATCATAATACACTATAATTTTTTTTTAAGTTCCTAAAAGCCACATTTCAATAATAATTAAGATGCTAAATACTGGAGATATTTTACAATTGATACTTTCACTTGTACCTGAAATTAAAGAGAAAATATTAAAAATATATATATATACATATATATATTAATGAAACATGAGTTTCATTATATATATTAACAGTTAAGAAGAATTTATAATTAGAAATAATAAAAAAAATACATTTATTAATATGCAACTAATACATAAAGCAAGTTTTTTATAACTTGTTACATGGATATAAATTTTACCACACCCTGTAATAAAATAATTTCATAGAGATAATGAATCATTATAGAACTGACCATGTGTTTTAATAGGACCATTATAGGTCCAATTTTTCATTAAGCACGTGATATACACAAAGGATTTTGTGTGTTACGTGATATCTAATCCTCTATCAAGTCAGTTTTCTGGATTGATTGTGATTTAAATGGTTAAAACTATTATTACACAATTACTTCTTAATAAAGATTAAACATATGCTTCTTAATTACATTTAAGATAATTTAAAAATTCAATTTTTTAAATAAAATTTAATTTTTGTTTTTTGCTATTTTTCTTGGTATTTTCCAATAGAGATAAGAGAGAAGAAAATGAGAGATTTTCTTTCTATTTAAAAAAAGTTATTAAATTATTTTATTACTTGCAAATGACATAAATATTTATATATTTAAATATAGTATTATCTGTTTATAAATAGAAAATAAAATATATTTGAACATTTAATTTTTATTATAACTGTCAAAATAAAATGTTATGATTTAATTTACTTCGTAAAATCAGTTTTTTTTTAATTAAAGAAAGCTAATTTGAAATTTAATGAATGTAAAATAAATTTTTTAAAAATTTATTAAATATTAAAATTTTTTATGGAAGGATGAATTTACATCTTTTGATCTTTTATCTACCTAAATGACAATTTTAAAAGTTAAGTTTTTCAAGCACATTACAAATGTATGATGTTAAATTATTAATGTCCAAGTTTTGTTCAATTTTAAATTAATTTTTTAAAAATACTTATAAGAAATGAAATGATACAAAGCATAGAAAGAAATAAATTTTAAATATAAAATATTAAAATAAATTATACTGTATAATTACATTTAATTTAAATATAATGAAACTAATTAAATCATATCTTTTGCATGAATGAGAAGCCAAAAAGGAGCACTTTTATTATGAAATATAATATATATATATATATGTATATATATATTTAATGTGACTTTTTTATTTATTTAATTTATTGTAGATTTGTAAATATATTTTTTTTAATTATTAGAATACAGGAATACAGAATACTTTGATCTCTATCTACATTAATGCAAATGAAGATATAGGAGGATTTAAAGATTTAAAGAGCCTTCTTATTGCCTATTAGTGGGGTCCTTTTGTAAAAAACAGTATATAACCTAAAACCATAATTTACTTTTTTATAAAAATATTAAATTTTTTTTAACTTAAACAAGAATTAAATTGATTTTTTCACTAAAGTCGGCTTACTCTCTTAAGTATAGCCTACGTTAGTATAGAATAAAATGAAATTGGAAATAAATGAGCCTTATTTATACTTTTTTCTTTTAATTATAAGAAAATTATTCAGTTTTGTGGGGACCTCCCATAATAGTGGTTCCCCTCAGTTGTGAACTTTTTAAGAACTGATAAATTCATCTCTGGAGAGAGATAAGAAAATTTTTAAAATAAATTGCTTAAAAATAGTTAATTATTTATAAATTGTCAAAATTGGAAATTCTTTAATAAATTATATACTGTATGTTATTTTGTATTTTGATTCAGAAATTGTCTTGTGTTTTGACATAATTATCAGGTTATATATCAACAGAGTAGCACTAATAACAGTTTCTAGAACTGTCACTTGTGATTCTGTTGTAATGAACCTGTCACTGTCTTGTTTTTGTTTATTGGCAGAAAGCCCTCTATATTTCTCTTACTTCATAAACTATCAAAATATAATAAATCTGTATAATAAAAGAATAAGACTAACAAGAGATAACATTATTCCAGCTTTAGTTAATTATAACAATTTTAACTAGATTTTAAATTGATATATTATTAAAGTATAAAAATTAAAAGAAAAATTAAATTTCTTTTACCCATTTCAAAAGATAACAATTAAATTAATAGTAATAATAATAATAATATTTTTTTATCACTACATTTTAAATAGAACATTTAAATGAATGTTAGCCAAAATAAACATTTGCTTATATTTTTATTAATAAGTGATTTAAAATTATTTTATAGCTTAATCCATCTTTTTATTATTGGATTTAAAACCTTATTGATGTCATATAAGTGTGTAGTTTCTTTTTCTTTATAATTTAAAAAATGATAACCTTTATAAAAATATAGTATAAGTACTGAGTAGTTGAGTGTATCTAAATCCTGTTAATCTAGCATTTGAGCAAAGTAAAGTTTTAAAACAATCCCCTGTACAATGTTGACATATCAATCAAGGGATCAGTGAAGAAGTACGAGATTAATGTGCTTTTTTTTAAAGTTATTTACCGGTGTTGAATACAAAGGACAGTAGGGAGCTAAGTATAAGCTCGTTTGGAAGTTGTTGCCTGAGGAAAGAAAACAATAAACTACAAGAATTATTGAAATGCTTCATAATGTAATTAATATACTTTTTCCCCCTCTTTAATAAAAGAATTTTTTAAAAGGTTTTACCATTTTCTTCCAGAGGTCTATGCAAGGGTGGATTAAAAGGTTGATTCTGCCCTTTTGTGGCATCTGACATACCAAATCTGCTATCTGAGAAGGAAAACATCTTGTTTTAGTTCACTTTTAATTAATATTCAAGCGAAACTTAATTAATATTCGTTATTTATTAATGAGAAACTTTGAAAATATAAAGAGATGAATGTATGTATCTTAATATAATTTATTTTTAAATAATTAATTAATTTAATAATATAACAATCTCCTGTTCATTTTAAAATATAAAGAGATTTTAAAATTATAAAATTTTTTAATAAACTTTAATCTACGTAAGTTTAATTAATTTTTTTAACCTTTTATTAAAAACTTTAAGTAGAATTTTAATAATTAATGTGGATATATTAACCCATACAGCTAAGAAATTAGACAGAAACTTTTAAAAAATATTCATTTTTCATTAAATATATACTTGTATACATTTGAAAAATTATCGTTTTTATGAAAAAATGATAAAAATTAAAATAAATAAACCCACTTTTTTTTCTAAATAACATGAAAGACGATAATCCTACCTTCTCTTCTTCCAGAAGTGGATTGCAAGGCCGGATGATGCAATGGCGATTTCGCATCATCTATAAAAATTAAAAGGGTACATTATATATAATTCATTTATGTACATCATTAAAATTAAATGAGATTAGTAAAAATATATTTTCTCAAAAGTTTCTCCTTTTTTTTTTTTAAAGAAAGAAAGTATTCCTAATTAAGTTGATTCCATAATGAATCCAAAGGAATGATTTGAACAGTTTCAACACCAGACATAAAACGGTTAGAGAGAAAAAAATAACAGAAAACGAAATAGTAGAAGATAATGAACGAGATAAATTGATGAATTTCAATCAGTTGAGAATGTTTCCTCCCTTCCTAGTTTTACTCCACAATTGATTACTTTTAACAACCCACTCAAAACTTCTGTCATTCAATGTTCCTTCTCCCTAAGTGAATTTCAAAGCACCGAATTTTTACTCTCTCTCTCTTTTTTAACTCTCGAAATTTTACTGTTTATTCAAAAAGAAACTTTCTTCCAACATTAATTGTATAAGAACATTAAAAAAAACCAGACTTACCTTCTAAACTTTGAATTTTAGCAGTGGAGGGTTCTTTTCCTGGTTGAGGTGAAACATGGATTTCTGAAAGTAAAATTTATAATAAAATATATATATATTTTTTTTTAAGGATATTTAATTGTATTTTCTGCAATGTATATAATAATAAAAGTAAATAACTCGATAATCTTTTGAAATTATTATAAAGTAGAACCGTGAATAAACTCTACTTGCGTGCTTTCGTGGTACGTAAAAATTAATTTCAATTAAGAAGACAGGAAAAATTTATAAATTAAAAAAATTATTTCTTCTATTGAGAAACACAAAATTAATTTTATTTTGTCATTTGCACAAAACAGTAATCAGTTTACAATACTTTATGCTTTAAAAGAAAAAATATATATGAGGTTTGTGAAGAAAAATTTAGAAATTTGGAATGAAATGTCGCTTCATAAAAAAACACACTAGAAAAATTTCCTACAAGAAGAATGCTTTCTAGAGAACAATAATTTTCAGGAAAACCATTTATATGGTCAATTTACAGAGCCTAAAAAACTGTATTGAGATAAATTCACCCAGTTTGAACACAAAAACACTTTAGAAATGGTTAAATTTCATGTTTATAAAATTACAGTGATTTATTTTTAATAAAATCTTCAAATTTTACTGAAATTTAAATTTAATTTTATTTATTAAATTCATTTTCATCCATTAAAAAATCAAATTATAAATCCAATACCTACCATATAATCTTATAGAACCTTCTGTAGATCCTAAAGAATTTTTAGCGTAGCATTTATAAACTCCAAAATCTTCCTGTTGAATATTTCTTATTATAAGTTTCATATGAACTTTATATGTCTTATCTTTTATTATGGCTAAGTATTTATCGTTAGTGACGAGCATATCACCATCTTCCTTGGTCCAGTAATTGATTGACATGGGGTATGCCTCTGTATGACATTCTAGCGTGATATTTGAGCCACTCGGAGCTCCTATGAGTTGGTTCGGAATCCATATCATGGGTGGAACTGCAAATATATCATGTTTATAAGAATATTATTGAACAAAAATGAATCTCTTCAAACATTGATGCATTATATTCCATATACAGTTTCCGCCATTATATGTTCTTCACGATAACGCAATTTATTTATTGATATGTTAAGACTCGAAAGTAGGGGAAATATTATATATAAATCCCTGTAAATCAATAGAAACTTTCGAAAATAATTTACTCTGCCACGTATAAGAAGGAAATATTCTATTTGGCATCTCGTAAGTAACGTTACATGGAAATTGTCCCTTTTAAAAACATCTTATCTATAAAATTATAATTAACTAGAAATACCCTTTTGTAGATAAAGTTATCGAGAAGCAACAAACGATGCAGCCCATATTGAAAAAGAAGCAAATCAATATGAAAACTAATTTAAAACAGAAGAAGAGATCAATGTTGTGGCGAAGTTTTGAAGAAGTAAATTACTATCTAGATGGTTATCACGAAAGTAAAAGTGGCGATTACATCCTATCGATAGTTTTTGATCATCATTAAGTCCTTCGCGTCACTTCTCCGGATATAAGGCCAGGAATGACAAATGGATGTCGTCTTTCTATATTCCGAGTGACAAAGGAGAGAGTAGTGAAGTTATTAAGCCCTTCTACTCCGAAGATGCTAATTAATCTGTCAATAAATTTACCTCAGAAAAACAACATTTTAATCTTCATCCTCTGCCGTATCTGATCTGCAATGGTGCAGAACTTTAAGAGCTTTCGTTTTTCTTTCTTGATGGTGTGAACTCTCTAGCAATTATACATTATGTGAGAATTAGTGGAAGAGTGCGGATTTAAAGCTCGTAAATATAAGGTAAGTCTATTAGCGTGTAGTTACTTTACTAAAATAAGGCAATTTAAGACACTTATAAACATTTTCAACCCACCAAATTACATTTTTTCTTCTCCTGCTCTTTATATTTGACGCTTTATAATGATCATTTCAACATTGGTTTTTATGTAACAACATTTAAATTTGTAAATCTCTGAATATTAATTATTAATGAGAGGTTGGAATGTATTTAAAGTATTTTTATGTTTAGTTCCTGAAACTATGTTGAATTATTAAATATTTATGTCGTTTAATTCATTACACATTTCTGAAAAACATATTTTAAATTTTAAAAGACATGATTTAAAGTTGTACTATTTACATTTGTCAGAATTTACATCGTATAAATAAACAATTTCACGCTCTGAGAACATGTTCATTAGTAGAGGTTGCAAGTTCTAAATATCAAATTTCTATGAAAAAAATAAAAATAAAAATTGTTGAAGCGTGTAAGAGTAATTCACTTACAGTGCACCTGAAGAAGAATTCTTCTACTAACTGAAGGTGGCACGTCGTTTGATGCTATGCACAGGTATGCTCCCATATGCAACCGACTGACTTTAGTAACACTGAGTTCTTCACCTTCATACGTTGCGTCTAAAAGTATTTTTAAAATTTTAAATTAATTATTATTATAAATATAACCAAAAAATTTGTTCAAAACTCAAATAAAATTCGTTGTTTAATTATAGAAAATTTTCTATTTTAAAATATTTTACTGGGAATTTACATTCTAGTTACAACTACAGTGTCTTATATAAATGAAAATTTTTAAAAATAATTAAACTAGCGCTTGTTTACTCTAACAAATATTATCTTTAGATAAATAGGAAAATTTTTAAAGAAAATATAAAAAATATTAGTACAGTGTAGATGCATCTAAAAGTAAAAGGAATGTTTTGATTTTATTTTGCGACTAATTCTAGAAAAGAAAGAAACAATCGAAGTCAAAGTTATAATAAAATTCTTTCAGAGAATTAAATTTCGTTGAAAGTAAACAATAACTCCACCCAAAGTTAAAGAAGAATGAAGAAGAGAAAACGTTATATATAGTTAGTTAGTCGTAGTTCCTTCCAATCATGTTTATACACAGAGAACATCATACAGGATCCGCCCAACCTTGCAGAATTTAATATATAATTACTTCAAAAGTTATGAGTGTTGAAACTAAATATATTTATTAATTAGAAATTTTTTTATTATAAAAATTTAAAAAATAATATAGCTTACGAAATGGCTTTATTAAATTCTTCAGAAGTTTATTTTATGTTAACAGATGTAATAAATTTATTTATTTATCCATTATTATATATTAAAATAGTATTTAATTCCTTTGAAGAGTACTTAATTAATATTAAGCACATATCTATTCTATTAAGAATTGTTTGATCATTTAATCCTTAAAAGAATATGTAATATAAATAATTATAAAGCCCCGGTACGTATTGAATGGCATAAGTTTATGCCGTTTAAATGGAAGGAGATTATTCATTATAAATTTATAAATATTCATGAAATATGTTCAGAATATAAAACGGATTTGTGTATGTAACGATTGGATTTTCGTATTAAGATTACATATTACACATTTATAACAAATATACCTTGAGGTTTGGTGCTTTGCCAGTTACCGACTGCAACCGGTTGTCCATCTTCCCTTCTCCATGTAACAGTAGGAGGGGGATTGCCAGTAGCTCTGCAGGTGAGAGTCACATTGGATCCTTCTCTGACTAGAACATCCGTAGTGCTATCGGCATCGATAATATCCGGAGGCACTGAAACAATAGAAAGTTAACTCTTGAGAGAGAAGTTAAGGTTGAAGTTGTTTAATCCCAAACGGGAAATGTTAATCCTGGCACCAATTACTTCCCATCTTCACTTCAGGATGATGTCTTCCTGATCCTCTTGAGAAACAAACAAAAAAAAAAAAACAAAAAAAAATCTATTCTAACCATGTGCTTATGTCTAGGTTAATAAGTCTATTTTCTTACTTTTATTCTTAAAAGTTACTAAGATTACTGGTTTATTATGGGAGCATATATCATTTTATGCGTAAATAGAGGAGTAAATTTCTAGATGAATCTCATTTAAGGAAAATTGTTTTAATAAAACGACTTCATTGCAGTAATAAAACGTATAATAATAATTTGAATAAAAGTATTATTATTATTTTATCAATCCTAACAGTTACGTAAATCACAAGAATGTAAACATAGATGAATTAAACATTCTCTATGATGAAGAATTCATCATAGAAAGTTCGCCATCATGGAGATGTCTTCAATAATTCACAGCATTGCTACCATAAAAAACGTGAAACAATTCTGTTCTACTTTTTGTCCTGTATATTCCATAACTGCATATAAACAATAACAAAATGTAAATTTCTTAATTAATTAAAAAAGAATAAGTGTAAATGAAAATCCTAATTAAACATTTTATTACCAAAAGAAGAAAGTTGATCTAATTATTTAATAACCTAAAAGCAAGGCAATAACTTTACATCTCCGAGACGAGTTTGGAATTTTAAAAGAGATTTTACTGGCATCTTGAATTCACTTCTGAATGTTTCTAAAACAACTTAACGGAAAAATAATAATAAAGTTAATAATAAAATAGATAATAAAGGTTATACACTTTATTATGCGACATGTAAATGAAGTTGCTTTTATAATTAAAAAATATAATTCTTTTTTTCTCCATTGCAAATTATTTTATTTATACAACTTAAATTTATACAATAAATTTATTTTTCCTCTTTTTTATTTTTTTAAGTTGAATATTCTTGAATTGTACACAGTGATAAACTCCTTTGCATTTCTTCTTGATGAACTTCTTTTTCATCTCAATATACATTTATCCACTTTATTCTTCTCATCATAAAAGTTTTCTTAATAAAGTTAGAAAATAAAAATATATTAAGTGCCGCTTGTGTTTAAATTCCTTAAACAGCATGTAAATAAGAGATTCAACAATTAAATTTATGCACTTTTTATTTTTATTTTGGATATTTCTTTGATATTATGAACAATAAATTTGAGTTATATCTCTTTTGAGGAGTTCCTCTTGCAAACGAATAGCAAATATTAGAGTTTATTCTCATTATAATATTGAAAAATAATAATATAATATATCAAATTACAGTTCTTTCTATTTACAACAATTGATTCTTTAGATAGACAACACTTCAAGAACTTTTCGATCAGATTTATTTTCTACATTTTCTCTCGTTGAGCTCACGCTACACACTGTCCCTTTTTTTGAAGTAGTCTGAATCCCTATTGATCCAGCCTCCAGGCACAAATAGTTTTCAGAATTAACAATCTGGCTATGAATTTTTCACACCTTTAAGTATATAAATGTGATAAAAGACCTTTAGTGAGAGGCCTGTTATCACAATTATAGGGATCTCGAAACATTTGTTACAAATCATTATTCTGATATATTAGTTGTGCATTAAGAAGAAACTTTTATTTTTGTTAAGTTTTATTGTTTAAAACATTTTGTAATATACATTGGAGAGTCTGCAAAGGTAAATGTCTACAGACATATAAAATGTACCATGATCTGTAACCCATATCATATCATATATTATTAGATTATAATCCAAGAATTATATAAACATTATTCTCGATTTTTGCATCAAATAATAAAAATTTACGTAACTTTTAACGAGGATAGAAGTTTTTCCGATAATAGTTGCCAAAAATAAAAACAATTTACTAGAATAACATGAAATTAATTAAAACATGTCAATTATTATTTTTTACTTTTATGTCCATTTTTCATTAAACTAATATCGATAAAATTTTTAAAAATTTCTAATTTTTATTTAATAAATTTTAAATATCAAACATTTTTTGAAACTTTTTTAAATTTATTTATATTCTCTACTCGAGCTTCATTATTAGCAACGTCTATAATTATCATAGACTTATGTGTAAAATTTCATCTATTATCCCAATTCGAAACAAACACGACATGTAATATTAAATTTTCACATATCTTCGTTATTATTCTGCCAATATCCACTTAAAATAGTAAACTATCTTTCCCCCATCTTCTCTTACACTAGTCTAATGCGAATCATGTCGTACATTAATCATCATTATAAGATTTTCCTTATTCCCAATTTAGGCCATGATTCCCTTCATTGATCCAATCTCAAGAGGATTTACTCTTTTGATCCTTATCGAATACAAAAATGGAGGTATAGTAATCTTTGCGAATAAAAGAAATATGCTATAATATATATAATATATTGCTATAATATCACTGTAATGTGCAATAAGATCGATCAATTTTTGCTTCCACACAAGAGACGAAAACATCTACAATGTATACACTGAATATTTTATCAAATATAAACATCACAGAAAAATATTTTATATAGGAATATACAGTAACTCGTGTATAAATAATAGATAATATTAATTTAAGAATTTGATTTTCAATTTTTGAAAACAAAAAATCGAAGCATGTTATTGTAAAAAAAAAACAATTTTTTTTATTGAATTTCTTCAGGAGATACTTTCAATGGATTTTTTTTTCAATAAAACTTATCCCGATATTTTTAATGATAAAATATTTCGAGAAACCAGAAATACTTGTTCAATTTTTTGCGTTTTTTTATTCTATTTTCTGATTAATTATTGCTGTTAATATAAAATTTTCCTTCCAGCTATTACTTAGCATTTTAATACACAAGAAGAGACATTATTGATGCAAGTTTCGTGTAGAATTTTACTTTTTTGAAAATTTTTCCATCCATCAAAAAATGTATAGCTTACAATATCGACTTGTAAACATGTAGTAATCCTTTTTCTTTTAAATAAGATTTAAAATTTCCTTATACAGAAATGTTCTTACGGCATCATCTTTTGTGGACGTGTACTTTAAATGAGAAATTTTTGTTTAGAAATAAATGGAGAATTTTTATTTATTTTTTTTTGAAAAAAAATAATACTGTTTTTTAATATAAAAGAAAAGCTTTTGATGTATTTACGCAGTAAGATTAAATCGGGGAAGTATTTTGATGAATGCAAACATTGGTTAGATGACAATTCAATAGAAGATTAGATCAATTGGAAGAACAAATATGAAAGTTTGGATTGCAGGCAAATTCAATCGATAAGCAACAGGTATACTTACTGCACTTCAAAAGCTTCTTTATAAGAGCAACACTGACTCTTAATACTTCATGTTTTGATAATTTTCTTTTTATTTGGTTGCAATACTCGAGCCGAACTTACGGATCACAATTGCTATGTTACACTACTAGGGTACTTGTTGCAAGTGGATGGTTGCAATAAAATATGGTTGAAAACTCTATAAAACGTCTTCAATTTCAATAACTTTTTTATATAGCCTCACAGTCTCTTAATATTTCATCCTTACAATTTTTCATTCTGGTGCTCAAACTGGAGTTACAAACATCGTGCACTATATAAATCTATAATAAAGGGTTGTAGTTATATCCACGCCTTATTTATTACTGTAAAATAATTGTAGAATGATCGTATGGTATTATTATTTTTAAAAATTTGTTTAACGCATATAATTCTTAATATTTTATCACTTACATTTTCTCCTTTACTAATACTGATCTCGGTTGTATAGTAAATATTTCGTGTTTTGACAATTTCTCATATCACTGCAACGAAATGGTGTGCAGGAATTCTTCTGAGATTTGCAAAGTTCATTTATCCTTATTAAAGGGCAATTTCTATGAATTTTAGAAATTTTGAAAGTGACTAACTTAAATTTTACTGATAAACAGAGTCATAAGCAATTACTAAAGATATAACGACATTTGGAAAAATAATTCATTAAATGCCAATAATTTTAAACTGTTTCGTTCATAATTCATTTTTGATGATTTTTTTAAACTGAGATAAATCTATTATATCGTTAAAGACAGATGCAAATCCTATTTATTAGAGGAGAACTTTATAATAACTTCTGCATGACTGAGGAAAACTAATTTATTTTCTTCTGTGGTAAGATAATCATGAAGATCAATTCTTGATGCTAACTATTATATAATGAAGAGCAATTCCTTCATTATCTTCACATGTTATTTTTCAGATTTAAACTAGAATTTTAAGAACATATTCCACTATCCTTTTAATAATTCTACGTATCAATATCTTAAACAGAATAGGCCTTTTACAGTAAATTCAAATTTTAAGGATGGAAATTCTTTTCTATTGATCATCCAATTAGTTTGTTAATTAGTAAAAATGTTTTCTTGTGCATTTATGACGTATCCAATGCGTTATACGTCATAAAACTATCGCTGATGACATATCGATTTAACCCGACAGCGCGCGACCCTTCTATTCTGTTACGAAACAGAACAAATATCATTGACCTAGCTGTGACGTAATTGAACAATAATCCTCTAGCTATTACTATGTCAAGAAGCGAGATACGTAAAACAATATTACGTCACTTAATCAAGAATGGACAGAACGACTTAGTTTGCTTTGAAGATGCAAATTATCCTTTCCCTAAGGGTTCGTATGCTTATGGTCCTCATAAATAGAGTAACGAGTAATCTTTCAATCGGATATTCGGAAAAAAAATTCATCACGTGATCAATTAAGATCAAAGCAGAATAATGAGAAGATGGAGGAAAATTGCATATTTATCGATCGCAAATGGTTGTCTGATCTTCCGCTACGCTGACCCTCTATCCATTAGGAGGGCATTGGAAATTCAGAAAGGTCTTGGGATCCTTCAACCGTTATCCTTAATAACCGTCTCCACTCAG